TTGAATAGAGCATGTACCATTGTGTCTTAGGGGGAAGTAAATTTGACAGTCATCGGCATAGAAGTGGAAGGGCATGTTGTGTTTCCGGAAACACAACCGTGTTGTGCCGTGCTCTTCAGCTGAGGCTGAAAGAAGTTTTAAACCTTCAAGAAGGCTCCAGACATGGCCTCACTCCTCCATGAAGCAGCAACGTTTGAACAATGTAGCCGTCTGCCACATACACCAAGACAGACCTGATCAGATGAAGGAGATTTGCCAAAATTTGTGTCTGTAAATGACAGAAGGTGGCACATTTTTAGAAGCTTTGTCTAATCTGAGCAGGAAGAACTTGTTTCGTCTTTGTCCTATGACTTGAAAAGTCCATGTGATGCTGCAACACCTTGAAGGAGAAATGTGGTGTGAAGGAGACAGAAGCTTCCTGAAAGTAAAATAGTTAAAATCAGTGAAGGAACAGTGGAACGGAGAACACGTGAGAAGGAGATGGATGATGTTACTTCAGGTGGATTGTGAAGGAAAGGAGAATAAAAGTTATGAAGTGTAGAAACGTTGACACCAAGAAGGAACCTGTAAATTATTTAATTTTAATCAGTACATGCAGGTTGACTAAACTGAGTAAAACGTGTTTTTTTGTCTCTTGCGTGGCCCAGTGTAGTTTGTGTTGTGAAGGCTGCATGAGGTCACGTCACGTCTGAATGTTCTGCTGGTGGTTATTAAATGTTCACTGGGTAAAGTTAATATTCTTATTTTTAAACATGCAGTTCAGTATCACCATCGTTTAGCACAATGGCAAGTTGTGTTACAAATAAAACTAAATAAGAAGTTAACAAAGTAAAAGTCAAGTGTTCCCTAAAGTCAGTTTGTGATAAATTGTGTCACATTAATTTAATTATTTTAGTCATAGGAGTGAGTTTAAAACAGGACGATGCAGATATGGACTAGTTGAACGACGTGTCTCTAAAATATTGAATCGAGTGTTTAGTTATGGAGGTCAACGTTTAAAAAACCTGTTAAAATACAACCAGAATGCAGGAAATGACATCTCCCCCCCCCCCCCCCCCTTACCAAATGCTTCTGACACCAATGCCATTGACAAATAGTTTTAATCTTTAAACATCTTTAAATGACTGATTGGCGTTTTTCTTTCCTCCCAGCTGATTCACTCTCTGAATGTTAGTCAGGCAGTTTTTAATATGACACACACACACCCCCCAGTTGAGGAATTTGATACAGAAAGTGTTTTGGAAATTAGTGTTTTTCTGGACTGGACTTTGACGTGACACCCCAATTTGAGACATCTGGGAACATCCTGAGACCAAGAACCCTGAGGAAATCTTGAGACATCCTGAGACACTCTGAGACCAGGAACCCTGAAGACAACCTGAGACCAAGAACCCTGAGGACAGACATCCTGAGACATCTTGAGACAAAGAACCCTGATGACATCCTGAGACATCCTGAGACCTAGAACCCTGAGGACATCCTGAGACATCCTGAGACCAAGAACCCTGAGGACATGATGAGACTTCCTGAGACCAAGAACCCTGAGGAAATGATGGGACATCCTGAGACCAAAAACGTTGAGGACATTCTGAAAGATCTTCAGACATCCTGAGACCAAGAATGCCGAGGACATTCTGGGACATCCTGAAACATCCTGAGACCAAGAATCCTGAGGACAACCTGAGACATCTTGAGACATCCTGAGACCAAGAACCTAAGGACATCCTGAGACATCCTGAAACCAAGAACCCTGAGGACATTCTGAGACATCTTGAGACAAAGAACCCTGAGGACATCCTGAGACCAAGAACCTTGAGGACAACCTGAGACATTGTGAGACAAAGAACATTGAGGACATCCAGAGACATCTTGAGACAAAGAACCTTGAGGACATCCTGAAACATCCTGAGACCAAGAACCCTGAGGACAACCTGAGACATCTTGAGACAAAGAACCCTGCGGACAACCTGAGACATCTTGAAACATCCTGAGACCATGGACCCTAAGGACAACCTGAGACATCTTGAAACATCCTGAGACCAAGAAACCTAAAGACATCTTGAGACAAAGAACATTGAGGACATCCTGAGACATCTTGAGACAAAGAACCCTGAGGACATCCTGAGACATCTTGAAACATCCTGAGATCAAGAACCCTAAGGACATCTTGAGACGTCTTGAAACATCCTGAAACCAATAACCCTAAGAACATCCTGAGACATCTTGAGACAAAGAACCCTGAGGACAACCTGAGA